ATTCATGGGGCGCTGAGTATACAGATGGCATTATATAAATGTTTAATAATCACCATATGGTTTCCCTGGAAATTCTGTCACTCAACAAGGAAGACAGACTGAAATAGATTTAAAAAAAAACAAAACAGACCTCTACTCTCCCGTTCCTTCCTTCCCTGTCGGTGCGCCATAAAACTGAGCGGATCGGTGCACACCAGCCTGGTCGGTGTTTAGAGACCACCAAATTTAGGAGGGTTATAAAAAAAAAAGCCTCCTATATTGGATATTACGCTTCTGTGTCAATGACGGCTTGGTAGCTCCTGTAACACCCCAATACCGGCTTTAATTATTCTATTACAGGGCATTGTTTTAAGTGGCTGAGAAAGCGTGGGATGTGCAGTTGGGTCCGCTTCCATCACGATCTCGTTTCTCACGGCTGTTTCCTTAGCGGGCCTCGCGGGGTGACGTTTGTGTGAGGTTCTGCCCTCGTGGACGAAGTTGCATAGTAATGGGAGAGACGGCACGTTTGACAAATGGGAATCGTGATTGTCTGGCCTCCTCACAGTTGTTGATGTGTTCTCCCGACCTGTAAATGTTGCAGCTGACTGACTACGGTAATTGATTGAGAACACATTTGTCAATAGCTTTCTAATGAAAGAGAGAGGTGAGGAGGAGACAGGGCTAGAGTTCGCTTAACAGGAAGAGCACTGAACCATGTTATAGATGATCACTGAACTCCATCTGCCCATGTAGAAAATGGAAATGCAATTCATCGCATCAACATGTGTGGAGCACCTACTGTGTTCAAGATCAGAGATCAGAAACTGGTGATTTTCAAGTAGGATATGACCCTCCAGCCTTGTTCTGGGTGCCCTGCTTGGTTAACCTGCAGTGTCCTTTCATTACAATTGGAAGCAAATTGCCAATATTTAAAATCAGGATATTTCACATTAAAATCTAGATTTCTAGCATCTCTTGGAAACATCAGTATTTGGCAACACTGGGCCAGAATTTCTGCAGGTCAGCATTTGTCTCAGCTTGGGTGGCTCCTGCATCTTGGAAATGGGTCTTGAGATCTCAAGTTTATATCATTCATTAGTGTTAACATTTAGGATTTCCAGTTTGAGATCCCTGTTTCAGGGTCTGAAGACACACACATAAGAAAATATGATTCCAGACCTTGCCTTACGGTACTCACAGTCATGTACAGCAAATACTGAATTTCTAGCAAAGAAGGGTTAGGCTGAGTTATTAAAGACTCTGGATAGTAAAGCCATCCCGTATCTGTCACATATGCAAGAAACCATGTTCAAATTCTTTGCAATACCCCATCTCCCGTGGTAGCTGGGATCATGGTGGCAGGAGGACTGGCCCTGGGAGCAGCACACTTGGGCGTGATTTGCAAGTGTGTCATCAGGCTTCTGGTGACCTCAAGTGAGTCATTTACTTCCCCAGGAATCCTGTTCCTCTAGATCCAGCAGGGTAAGAAATTGGATCGTGTGCTACACACTGTTGTGTGCTATAACCTGGGTAGTAAACTATGACAACCCTTTTTTTTTGTAAATAAAGTTTTATTGGAACACAGCCACACCCTTTTTTTTCTTTAATGTATCATCTATGGCTGCTTTCACATAATGATGGCAGAGCTGAGTGGCTGGAACAGAGAGAGACCAGATAGTCTCCAAGTCTAAAATATGTATGATCTGGCCCTTTAAGAAAAGCTTTGCAGACCTCTGCTTTCTCTACAAGTCACCTGTAATAGTAATAATACTGCACACTGCTATTGAACCTGGTTTCCTCGCCCTTGAGAAGGTGTTTCAGTATTTGCAGAACCCATGAATCAATTCTATGACCCAGATTCGTCAGATTCTGGATGTGCTCAGATGTGCGGCTAAGCTTTCTGCTTGACAGGGTCACTTTTTTCTGCATTGAGGAAGTGAACGTCCCCAGTCCTCCAACAGTTCAGCTGTGGAGTGTGCGAGGCCTTGAACGCAGCGTGTCCCCAGCCCCACTTCCCTTCCTGGCGTGACTCTCAGGGAGTTGGAGCCTTCCTCCGTCCTCTAAGACACCAGGGAGTTGGAGTCGAAGGAGTCCTTTCGAAAAAGAATTACGAAGTGCTTAACCTTATGGTGCCCCATTTTCCTCCTCTGCACGATGGGAAGAAAGGTAAGACCCATCTCACGGTTTTACGAGGATTCAGTGAGGCCGTGCTCAACAAGACAGGGAGCAAGCAGAGTGCATGGTACAAACGCCTTATGGACACGTGAGTTCTGTCCGCTCCGGTGTGATGTGGTCCATGTCATTAGCTCAGAATGTAAACTCCAGAGCAGTGCTTTTCACAGTATGGTCCCCAGGACGCCTGGCTGGGAAAACCCTGGGCTTTGCTGTCAATACAGATTCCCAGTCCTCCCCCCAGACTTCCTAAAATAGAAGCTGATGTCGGGGGAACATCAGATTTCCCCAGGTGAGCTCTTAACTTTAACAGGATCCCCAGATGATTCTGATGACCCCCAAAATTGGAGAATTGCTGCTGTCGGGAGAGCAGCCCCCTCCTTCTGCCCATTATGCCACCCGCAAACTCTGAAAGAGACGGGGATTTGTGTCCAGCACCATGCGTGACAGGCCTGGTGAGAGCCGGTGGCATGAATTATGAATCTCCTCTTGTCAGAGAAAACCCTCCAGGCGAGAAAGACCTGCTCTGGCTTTTAATGGAGTCGAGATAAACTGAGTAACTGAAAGAGTTCCTCGTCTGGACATCCTCATGAGACAGCTCTCAAGTCACGTCCTGCTCCAGTGCCCGAACCCCCACAGCAGCGAATTCAGTCCAGATGGAATCCCACCCACTGCTCATTACACGTGGGACTTCTGGGGGGTGTTCCCAGGCCGGCTTTAGTTCCTCTCTTACGGACCCTCTTTTAATGGATGACGACACGTGTAATGAGAACACTTAACACGCAGAATTCGTAAGGGTTAGTCATATAATTAGTTCTATCTCTTTTATCCCCGACTGCCCTCTTAAACCTAGTCAGTGGGAATGATAAGCCTTCCCCTGCCACTGGGTGAAGTTTCAGGTCATCCCATAGTCAGATTATTATTGTAAGTCTCGAATGCATGATCTCCATTCAGAAATTAAAGCATCCAGTCCGAAACAGTCATCAAAATCCTTGTCTCTATTCAAGGATGAGTAAGACTCCCCTTCCACCTGGCTCACCCTAAAAACTGGAGCCTGTGGTTGGCAGGTACCCTGTCTCGGAAAGTATCACTTCTCACTTTCTCACTGGCCACCTCCTCTGCGGCCAGTTGGTATTTTTGATCTTCTTTCCCTTTCAGATGAGGGTGGAAGAGGGAAGAAAGATGTAAGGGGAATAAGAAAGTCTTACTTAGCAGATACTGTTGCCAAATAGCTTTGTTCTCTCTGGGCCCAACAGATAAACCCTCTGAAACTCTATACTTTTTGGAAGCTCAGCACCAAAATGAGTCTATGCACTAACTAAACCTGCCTACTGCGGCCTCAGTTATATGGAACGTAGACTCATCCAAGCCCACGGATTGAGTTCTGCATCTGCTCCCACTCCACACAAGCACACACACACACACACACACACATATACACACACCAGCTTGTCCCATGGTAGGTGGCAAAAGAGCTTGAGGCCAGCTCTGTCCCCTGTGTGTCCACATCTGACCGGAGGACACTCATGCATCTTTTGCCCCTGACCCATTGGCTGTGTTCAGGAAGGTGGAGTCGCTTCTCTTTCATGCTGGAGTCCCCTAGATGGAGTGACTCATCAATTCACAACTCATCCACAACTCTTAGGTACATGCATCAAGCTTTCTGAGTGGTCTAGTGGAAGCCCTCTTCACTTGGCTTGAAGTGAGGGACGGGTACCCACAACCCACCTCCTTAGTGAGGGACTCACAGACCTTCAACAACTCTTCAAAAACAATCTCCCTCACTGAAAATAGACTTACCTATGATCCAGCAATCCCACTCCTGGGCATATATGTGGAGGAAACTCTAATTCCAAAAAATACATGCACCCCAGTGTTCCTAGCAGCACTATGTACAATAGCCAAGACATGGAAACCCCCTAAATGCCCATGGACAGATGACTATATAAAGAAGTTGTGGTGTATTTATACAATGGAATACTACTCAGCCATAAAAAATAAAATAATGCCCATTGCATTAACATGGATGGACCTGGAGATCATCATACTAAGTGAAGGAAGCCAGAAGGAAAGAAAAATACTATACAATATCACTTATATGTGGAATCTTAAAAAAGGATTCAAATGAACTTATTTACAAAACAGAGACAGACTCACAGACATAGAAAACAATTTTATGGTTACCAGAGGGGAAAGGGGATGGGGAGGGATAAATTGGGAGTTCAGGATTTGTAGATACTAACTTACTACATATACAACTATATATAAAATAGACAAATAACAAGTCCTACTACATAGCACAGGGGATGATATTAAATACCTTGTAATGGTCTATAATGGGAAATGAAAAGTTACATGAATCACTATGCTGTACACCAGAAATTAACACAACATTGTAAACTGACTATACTTCAATACAATAAAAAGAAAAATCTGCCTCACATAATTCTCTCTCCTGTTTGCTCCTGGCCATTTTAAATTCCACTTGGAAGGGAAGACTTTTAAAATTAATAAGACTGGTTCTCAGATATATTTTGAAGTTCTTCAGTGTTGATTTCGAATATCTTCTGAATCTTACCCTCATTAGTCGAAACTTCCAATGTGCTCATCTTCAGTTTTACCCAACTCCACCAGGGTGCCATTGTCAGGATTATTTCTGAGAGATGCATTTCCCTGAATAAAGCATGTAAAAATCCCAAGATCACTTCTCTAGAAAAAATGCCGGGACCATATAAAACACTGCAACTGGACTGGGTTCCCAGTTTAAGCTCAACTACAGCAAAATTCTAGAGAGATGCCAGCACTGGCAGACACCTGGGTCACCCCACGGCTTCCAGTGGGCTAGCCCCACCGTGAATGAAATGCTGCTACGTCACCTCTTGCCCGTTACATCCTGCAGTGTGACTGGTTACTACCATTTTCCCATTAGACCGAGAAGTCCGGAGAATGCACCTGTATCCTGTTCATCTCGACATCTCCAAATACTAGCAAAGATTCATCACACAGAAGGCCCTCAATAAATGCTAAGTGAGTAGAATAAAAATACTTTTTTTCTTTCCAAACTCACATCTGAGCAGTCCCCTTGTGAGGCCACAGTAGGGGGAAATGACCGACAGAGCAGCCTAAAGGCCTATCTCTGAATGTCAAAGCATTAAGGAAAAGGTAGAGAGTTGATGTTGGAATCGGAGGAATCCATCTTTCCTGTCCTCTAAAATCATCCAGTGAGGCAAGGTACCAACAGATGCCCCACCCCTCTTACATTTTATTGCACATACCCAGTTGCACCCCTGGAAAACATTTGTTACATGAGTTGGCCAGAGATCTGTCAGAGGCATAGATTTCTTGTTTGCTGGCTGTCTGTTCTTTTCTTTTTTTTTTTAAGAGTGCAAGCTTCGTGCTACTCCACGTAGGTTGTTAGGCTTTGCAAAGACAAGACATAACAAGTAGAGTAAGAGAGGGCTATAGCTCTCCTCCTATGAAAGGAAGCCACAGACTGGGGAGGTTTTAAGAAACTCCAGAAAGTGACATCTACACCTGTAAGTGCAGGTTTCACTGCTGTCTTTGCTGAGTCCTCCGCTTGCTCTGTGCTCTCACAGTGTTTCGTTCATCCCTCGAGCAAAGCATTTGTCTTGCTCTGTGATAGGTAGTTCACGAATGTCTGTCCCTTTGAGACTCGGAGCTTTCGGAAGGAAGGAGCTTTATCTTATTTGTCTCAGGAAGCTGAGTACTTGAAACACGTAATTTTTGTTAAAAGGGTAGTCCTTAATGTTTGTTGGATGGGTGGATGGATTTCTCTCTTGCATATTTGCTGTGTGGAAATTAGAACCACACGGCGTCTCTGGCTTCCCTCAAAGCCAGGCAGTGATCAGGAAGGATCTGGAAATAATATTGTTCTCCGTCAACAGCAACAGCAGTATCTCACACTGGCACAGTGTTTTGAAATGTACCATGTGTACAGGTGAGTAATTTTTGTAATGAATTTTCTTTATGATTAGGATGTAAAATATGAATGAGAATACTTATGCACATGATAAAGCACCTTGTACTTTCTGATAAAAAAATTATTAAATTTCCTATTTAAAACTTGTATTTAGATAAATTGACTAAACAGATTCTGAGTATCTGTGAATATCTGTTATTCTGCGGCCCAGCATCCAATTGTGTCTTCAGATGACCGTCTTCTGGTTGTTCTCTGGGAAGCCACGCGCCATCAGTCTCAGGCCATGTATCTTAGGCGAGGAACCCCATCAGCCATGCCAATCACGTTTCCTTTCCCTGGCCCTAAAGATGGATTCAAGGATGGCGACCTGATCCAATCAGAGCCAAAGTGTTATGATCAGACTTTTGCTTAGACTTCTTAGAGAGTCTAGCTCATTCTGCTGAACTTGAACCTGAGAGAACCTAAAATCTGGTTCCTGAGCAACCACCTTGCTACAATGAGGAAGGAGTACTTGTCTGATAATAATTCCAACAATGGAAGAAAGAGGAAGTGGGTCATGGGAGACATCATTTGAGTCTCTGAATAAAGGTGTATGTTAAGTCAACTCTACTCCCAGATGTGATTATATATTTTTATCTATATTAGATATATAGATATATATCTATATAGATATAGATAAAAATATATATAGATAAAAATATATATATTTACACACACACAGTGTACAAATATCATCTGACCCATTTAGCTTAAGGAAAAATAAAAATTTGTCATGTGCCATATATAAATAATCGGGTGTTTCTAACCGATGCATCGATCTTATTAGAAGATAGATCCTAGCAGAGGCTCAGATTTCCACAGCTCCATTTGCACAGATGGACAAGACGGACAGGAGCATTTTGACAAGCCTGTTCATAGCTCAGCTCTCCCACAGATAAGCACACACACCTACTCATCCAGGTACTGCGCCAGACCCTTGAAGGACACAGCTCATACCCTCTCCGCAAGGTGCTCACACTTTTAATAGGAGTTAGATTTCTAAACAACCAACTGTAAAATATGTGAATGAACTCAATGGGAGGATAGTGTGGTGAGAGCTTAAATGAAAAAGCAATCACTTCTGATTTGCAAATAGTCTTCCTAATTTATCATCACAAAAATGAGTTAGTGGAGTAAGTGGATAGATGGGTAGGAAGGTCGTATATTATATTTTTTCCAATCCTGGCTGTATATTAGATTCATCAGGGAGCTATTACATAAACCTGATACTGAGACCCACCCTCCCCCCCACCCCAGCTCCAAAGCAATTACAGTAGACTTCCTGGGAGGCAGGTCCCAGGCATTAGTATTTTCTAAAAGCTTCAGAGGTGAGTCTAATGTGCAGACACGTTTGCCATTCACTTTTCCATAAGAATAATGCTCAACCATCTTACGCAGCCAAACCTCCATGGGGGCGCTGATAAAAAGCACAAATGCCACAGCTCTGTCCTCAGTTATTCTGAATCACTTGGTCTAGGGTGGGATCCATGTGTCAGTAAGTTTAAAAGCTTTCGAGATGACACTACTGTGAAGCCAAGGTTGAAAACCACTGGTCTGCAGGAAACCTGCTGTTTTGGAGAGGCCAGCAAGCACTGAGCATCATGCAAAGGGCACGTCTGTGTCCGGTTTCCTCTGCTCTTCGGAAAAGTAAGAGCCTCATTTTACAGATAAGGGTATAGACCGTCTGAAAGACAGAAAGTCTTGTGACCTTACAGGTGACCCATATAAGTGACACAGCTGGAATTTGAACCTAGTTTTGACTCCAAGGTCCATATTCTTTTTTATGACAACATTCATTCATTCATTCACTCATTCATTCATTGTCACTTGGTCTGTTATTCTTCCAGTAAATGTTTAGAGCATATGTGTGGCTTAGCTCCTGGAACACGAAGTGTCTCCAGAAATGAATAGTGACCATGAGAGGTCAGCGGACCTCCCTAGGATCACAACCATGTGGACCTGTATGTAGAGAACAAAGATCTCTCTAGAATAAGCCAGCTTTAAGCCATCCCAGTACCTCAGGCTACAAATCTTTGTTCTGGACACAGCACAGTCCCTGTGACTTCACAGAAGGGCCTGCCACGTAAATCATGCTGTGAGAAGTCAACTCTGGCCCTGTAACCTACAAGGCAAGCTACATGCAAATGACAGGCTCCCCTTCTAGTCAAATGACTAGGGGGCAGGGGCGGGTAGGGTTTCCTACTGCGGAGGGAGTGTCTGGGAGAGACAGAAGGGCAGAAGCAATCTTGGTGTGAGAAGTGAGACTTCCCTTCTGGGCACAGTGACAGGAGTGTCTTTGTCGTCCTTAGTCCCAACAACAACTCGCCCTTTGGGATCAAATCTGCCAGCAGTTCCTGCCTGAAGGACTGGAGGAGCCTGTCATCTCAGCAGACCGAGGGAGGCATCCAGAGCCCGAAGCAGTGCGGTCAGTGAAGGGGAAGAGAACAGCCACCTCGCCTGCCCTTCATCTCGACAACCTCCTGTTGCAGGCGCCTCTCCGCCACTTCAGAGAGGCATGCCATCCCACCGTCTGGCCTCAGAATGCTAACATCCGGGAAATTCTACATTCATCTTGCTTTGTCCACACCCCGGATCCTTTGCCCAGCTTGGAGCAATTTGGTTCCAACCTACATTTTCAGCTTCATCACTTGCTGCGACCTGCAGCTAATGACTTTTTACCTCTGGGCCTTCTCCCACGTAGCTCCCTCTGCCCGGGCTTCTGCCTTCACTTCCTTCTCTCGGAAGACTCCTACACGGCTGTCGGCTCTGCAAGGAAGGCTTCCCACCATTGTAAGGAACAGAGTCACTTTTATAAAATCGTCTATAAAAAAACATTCTCTACTCTTTTTTACTTTTGTGATTTGATTACTATTGCACTCATCTCGGGGGCTTACAGTTAAATCGTCTTTCCGTACTGTTTCTAGGGCCCCTTCCTCAGGGATTAATGAACTTAATGAATACCCATCACATGCAAGGTGCTCAGAGCAGCAGAAGAATGACTAACATCCGGTCTCAGGGTTTCTAGGTCAGCCTAATTTCCACAGCCAGCAGTGATCCAGAGGTTGCCTTAGATGTGGGAGGGAGCCGAGAAAGAGGAAGGCTCTCCTCTTTTTAACCAGAGCAGGGATGCTTTCGTTTACCATATACGTAGGGTTTTAAAACAAGTCTCCTGCCAAAAGCAGTTTGAAAACCACTTCACAACAACATCGTCCCTTCTGTGATACTATAGCCCATCAGCCAACTCCATCCCATGAGCCAAACCCAGACCACCGCCTGTTTTCGTATGATGTGTGAGCCAAGAATGGTTTTTGCATTTGCAGATGCTGAAAGTCAAAAAAAATCGAAAGAAAATAATATTTTGTTACACAAGAAAATCAGATGAAATTCAAATCTCGGTGTCCATAGGTACAGTTAGAACAAGCCACGCCTTCATTTAAGACTTGTCTACAGCCGCTCTTGTGTGACAATGGCAGAGCTGAGTAGCTGTGATGGACCATTTGGTCACAAGCCTAGAATACTTAGAATCTGGCCCTTTGCGGGAATGTCTGCCCAGCCTTGCACATCCAACTGCCTGATACACACCTTCATCCTTCCTTCATGCCTTCCTTCCCTCTCTGGCCCTTTCTCCTTCCCAGCAAAACTTTATTATAGGTTTGTATTTAGAATCCAGTTAACTGGGACCCGCAGGTCTACTTTTCGATGCTAGTGTATTTTGATTTTTGACTTGAGGACACGATACTATAGTGTCAGCTTCCAAATTCAAACCACCTAAACTCTTATCTGCTTTTTTAATAGCAACCTATAGTCAGCGTAGCTGGAGGAACTTGAGTGAATGCTCCCACCGCTCTTAATACAAGCATCTGTTAAGTGAAGACTCACTATTTTCCTGTCCATTTGGGCTATGAAAGTCTGGGCCACAGAAAAAGCAGAGCTGAAGTGCACAGACCACTCCACAGCCCCACAGCTACCCGAGGCCCCAGGCAGCTGGCTAGAAGGGCGGAGACAGGAGAAGGTGGAGCAGGGGAAGTTTTGTCCTCTCTGTTGCAGGTGTGGATTGCTAGAAGGGATTCAAGGCTAGAGGTCACCTGAGCCCAAGCATCAGCCAATGGCTCTTTTATGCATCAGGAGTAAGAGACAATCAGATACATTTTAAAGGAGTCTGCTGTCACTGCTAACCAAAGGTATGCAAATTTAGACTATGTTATGATGTATTAAGACATCAATTTTATACCCACTGAAATCATTTTAGAGAAAATTTAACATCACAAAGCCCAGTGCTTGTATGACTAGAGGGGAAAAGGAACACACATATATTGGAAAAATCATTTTGTCATGCCTTTTTACCAAGGAGTTCTCCTGGCAACTCATGCCAAGGCACATATTAAAAAAGAAAAAGAAAAAGAAAAAGAAAAAATCTGGCCAAGAAAATTTATTGCAGCATATTTGCAGTTTGCTATTTAATCAAAAAAAAATCCTCAAACTTTATATGCCTGATAAAATGTTTTGTTTAATTAAATTATGGTAAAATAACCCATTGGAAATATCTTGCCGTATTTAGAATGACCATGTTGCAATGTCAAATTTTCCTTTAAAAATAATATGAAAATAGGGAAAATAGAACATTTATATATGCTGCAGTTAATGTAAAACTATGCATGCCTTTAACTAAAACTGAACAATGAGGTTTCTAACAGTTCTTCTCTGTTAGGCATGGGGAGAATATGAGTGAATCTTTTTCTGTTTTAATTTTCACAAAAGCCTTTGTAATAAACTCTGTTTCACTTTTAACATTTTTATAAAGGAAGACAAGGAAAAAGAAGGGTGAGGACTGACCTTTGTAACATTCTTTTAGAGACTCTGAGCAACATGGTTCTATTTGAGGAAGACTGGATCATAACCTCCTGGGGGTACCTCTCAGGCCTGCGATGCTCAGAATGGGATCCGGGTGGGAGGCAGGCTAGGCTCTACCTACGCACTCTGGTAAGTCATGGCATCAGCAGAGACGGATGCCCCTGATGGGAGGCAGTGACAGGGACCACTTGAGAAAGTGACTCAGCGGGGCCAGATGGTATTTATTCAAGAGCTCATTTATTTGGATCACCTGACATATGAAATAGCAGGGATTCTGACAAGGACATGCGATACCTCATTTCCTTGAAGATGAAGAAGCTGCAGACATAGTCTCTGCCCTCCAAAGAGAGACTGAGGAAGGCAGAGGGAGGCTCAGAGGTGGCCAAGCCATGAGCAGAGCCCAACTTCCATGGGATGACAGAGACAGAAGTGTGTCCTATGTCACGGGTTGAACTTGCGTCCCCCACTAAAAGAAAAAGATAGTTGAAGTTGTAAGCCCTAGTACTTCAGAAGGTGACCTTCTTTGGAAACGGGATCACTGCAAATGCAATTTGTTAGAACGAGATGAGGTCATACCAGAATAGGCTGGGCCCTAATCCAGGGTGGATGGTGCCTGTACAAAACGAGGAGAGCCCACACGGAGGCACACAGAGGGAGGGCTGTGTGATGACAGAGGCAGAGTTGGAGGAATAGAGCCACAAGCCAAGGGATGCCAAAGCTGGCCAGTGTCACCAGGAGCTAGGAAGAGCTAAGGAAGGGGCCCCTAAGGTTTCAGAAGGAGCATGGCCCTGCTCACACCTTGATTTTAGACTTCTAGCCTCCAGAACTGTGAAACAAAATTCCTCTTGTTGTAAGCCACCCAGCTTGGGGAACTTTGTTATGGCGGCCCTGGCTAGAAGTCTACTAGACCCTAAAAACCCCTGTGGCTAGCTGAGTGGATCTGAGCCAGCTGCTTTTCCTTGATTATCCTTTGGATTGCTAGAACAGGTCACAGCTTGGGTCTTACTGATACAGAGAACAAGGAGAAATGACCTGGCTATTGGAGACCCAGTGTAGGCTTAAAGTGGGGTGGATAGAGTAGAAAGGCAGGCTTTGGGCCAGGGACCTTCTCCCCACAGCATCCTGCAAGCATTTAACAGCAGAGGGCAGTGGAAGGAAGTGGCTGGTGGGAAGAAGCAGAAGACGAGGGTGCCCGGACACAAATCAGAAGTGTGTTGTGTACACTGTGTGGTGTGTACAGTGGTGCAGCATGTGGATCTGGCGTTCTAATCTCAGCTACACCACTGGCCTAGCTGTGATACTATGATGAGTTATTTTTTTTAATTGACAAATCATTTATGTACAATGTTGTGTTAGTTTCTGGTGTACAGCATAGTGACTCAGTTATACATATATATTCTTTTTCATAGTCTTTTCCATTATGGTTTATTACAAGATATTAAATACAGTTCCCTGTGCTATGCAGTAGGGCTTTGTCGTTTATCTATTTTATACACATATAGTAGTTTGTACCTGCTAATCCCAAACTTCATTTATCCCTTCCCCTTCTTCCCCCTTTAGTAACCATAAGTTTGTTTTCTACATCTGTGAGTCTGTTTCTGTTTTGTAAATAAGTTCATTTGTAGTATATTTTAGATTCCACATATAAGTGATATCATATGATATTTGTCTTTCTCTGTCTGACTTACTTCACTTAGTATGCAAATCTCTAGATCCATCCATGTTGCTGCAAATGGCATTATTTCATTCTTTTTTATGGCCATGTAGTATTCCACATATCTTCTTTATCCATTCACTACAATAAGTTATTTAACCTCCCTCAGCCTCGGTTACTTTATCTGTAAAATGGAACTAATAACAGTTCCCACCCCACAGGATTATTGGGAGGAGTAAGTGACTTAATACTTACAAAGAGCTTAGCATGGTACCTAGCACATAGTAGGTACATAATGAACATCACCTGCACACTTCCATGTATACTATTGCATTTAATCTCACTATTCCATGATGGAGGTTTTGTTAGGCTTATGAATAAAGATTTTGAGACTTAAAATTTAAAGAACATACCCAATGCCATAGACAAAATAAAGACACATGGCAACTAGAGATCCAGCTGAGGCTAGAAGAAGACAATGGAGGACAAAGCAGGAGTGTGAGATGTAAGTCAGGGACCTTCCAGGAAGTCAGTCACACTGTTTGCTTGGTCACCAGTCTCCAGAGTCTGCTCTTCCTTCACTCCCTCATGGTACTGATGTCCTAAATTCTGTCTCCAGCCTGCTGCACAGCCTTCAGGAAGTTAGTTGCATTTCTTAATTAACACCAGAGTTCCTCCACCTCAGCACCACTGATATTTTAGACCGAGTAATTCTGTACATGGGTGGTTGTCCTGTACATGGTAAGGTAGTTAGTAGCATTCCTGAATTCTACACACCAGATGCCAGGCGCTCTCCTTCCCCAGTCATGATAATCATGAATGTCCCCAGACATTATCAAATGTTCCCTGGGAGGCAAAATTGTCCCTAGTTGAGAATTACTGACCTACACAATAGGATTGAAGTATCTGCAAAACGGTTTCATTGAGCCATTCTGAGGAGCAAATTTGATAAATACGTTTTTGTCTTTAAAAAGAAACAGAATGCACTTGCCAACATAAGCTATTGCAAAACAAATTTAATATTATTTATTGGTTGTTCCTTGCCAAGTTCAAAAACAAGAAGCATGAAACATGTCTTCCTTTCACAAATATCACAACCAAGGAAGGGAGGGAAGAAAGGAGGACGCCAAGGAGTGATGTTGGGGTCAAAAGGCCCAGAAAGAAATCACCCGTAATTGAATCAATAAGAGGACTTTTTAAAGAAAATAGGATATGAGCCACTTACTGAAGGATGGGAACAATTTCTGAAGACTAAGATAAAATCTAGAGAATGGAAATGTCCAAACACAGGACACAGTAGAAACCACATGAGGAACAAACAGGAGCTAAGCTGATTCAAATCTCCTGAAATAATTTGTGTTTTCCCTCTGCTTGGAAGGCCTTTCCCACTTTGATTCACAAACCAGACCTTCCTCCTTCCAGACTCAGCACAACGCCACCTCCTCCAGGAAGACTGCTCTGAACTCCCAGACTTGGCAAGATGCCGCTTCACCTTGTTCCTTTGTGTCCCCAGTAGCTCCCATCAGTGCCTTTCAGGGGGTTGCTACTGGCATTTAGGGTGGGTCACTTCCTCATTGAGCAGGAAAATGAGCATGTCTGACTCCCACTCCCTAAACATACTTCCCAGTCGTTGTGACAGCCAAAAATCTCCATGCGTTTTTCCAGGTATCTCTAAGTGGGCAATACCACGCCCAGCTGAAACCCACATCTTAATACTTCTGTTTTTCCTGAGACCATGGATCTGTCTGTCTCCTCCTGCCAACAGCAAGCTCCTTCAGGATAGGAACTGTTGATCTCACATCATCCCTGCAACACTAAGACCTAGCCCAGCGCCTAGTTTGCAGCTGGCTCTTGGTTAATATTTGCTGGTCTTTTAAAGCAGAAGGTTCATAGAGGGAAAAACTGGACACTCAGAATTGAAAGATAAATTGGGGCTAGACAGTAAGGGACTCTTCGTATGCTGAGGAACGTGCGCTTTCTTCTATTAGGTGAAATCATGTGAAATTGTCATTTTTGTAAGTCAAAAGTGGGCAATTACAATGAAGATATGTATGTTCATGTATAAGTGGAAAATTGTGCTCTACACCACAATTTGACACAACATTGTAAAATGACTATAACTCAACAAAAAAATGTTTTAAAAAAAGTGGCTAATTAAAGGAGGAGGGTATAGCTCAACAAGATCCTGGGTTCAATCCCCAGTACCACCTCTAAAAATAAATAAACCTAATTATCTTCTCCTCCCAAAATAAAATAATTAAAATAATACAATAGTAAAATTTTTTTAAGCAACCAATTATCAGCAATTTCACATGGTTCATCCTAATATAAGGCAGTATTTACTTACTTTTCTCTTTTTTCCCCTTTTTTACTGAAATATAATTGATTGACAACATTGTGTTAGTTTCAAGTGGATAGCAAAGTGATTTGGTTGTGGGTATGTATGTATGTGTATGTGTGTGTGTGTGTGTGTGTATATAACTTTATCTTTAAATTGAGATACTTTTTGTAGCTTAAAAACCTAACTTTGGTCTCATCATCTTAAACACTAATTGGAGGTACTGAATTTTCTTCTTTCAAAAAAACATTCAGGCAATTGATTCTTCATAACTAACAGTCATCCATATACCACATAACATTATGTCACGTGCCACAAATGGACACAGATCCTGCTGTCGGAAACTGTGCTCCAAACAACTGGATGGATCCACTGTAGACTGAGGAGGTGGTGACCCTGCGGCAGTGAAGCTGGCAGGGGGAGGTGTTAAAAAAATAGGAACAAGGTAGGAAAGGCAGGGAGAGAACACGGAGAACAAGGATGAAATGGGGTGGGGGGGGAGGAGAAAAAAATAGGAACAAGGTAGGAAGAGACAGGAGAGGAAAAGAAAAGAAACGGCAGAGCAAGCAG